TCCAAGAACCCTTCCTGAGGCAAGTCGCTGCAAATGTTTCTCCTCGACAACAACCTCTATTTCCCCCCCCTCCTATCCCCCAAAAACATCTTGTCGTTTACAAAAAGAATCCATCTTTATTTTCAGAAGTTCTGATTCATCCGTCTCTTGAGCATCTTAGCACGAGTCACAATACCCTACATTTTGCTAAGCGCTCCCCTGCGGCAGCAAACATGTGTGACTGGCAAATGGCTCTGAAAATGCAAGAGTATAATGGAGGCACCCAAGTTATAATTAAACACTGCTGGTGCAACACAGACATATATTTACCCCCCCCCAAGCCTCCCTCTTTGTCCAAGTCACTTTGTCTAGTATCCTAACTGTCCCTCAATTTATAGAGTCTGGCTGCCTCCCCACTTCTCCTCCCGAATGACTGTCCTTCCACATGTGTCTCAGAGGCTTACCAAGTTCTCTTTGCCACCTGGGCACAACGTTCAGCCAGACACTATGAACTTTCCTCTGGCCTGGACATTAAACCTGTGGTTGGACTGTATGTACTACTTCAGACTGCCAACATGGGCTCATGAGAACACACGTTTCTCTATAAAACACATGCATTCACACACACGCAAGCAGCAGGTAAGGGTTAGAGCCCTTCTGCCTGACAGGATAGTTTTCTACGTGCATGAAATCATGTGTAGGAGCCTCCAATCATAACAAGCCTCCACCAGCACAGTCCCCACACAGATTTGTCCCTTTCATCTGACTGTTGCTGACTGTACAGGTTGCTGACTGTAACTGCTGTTTTTCAAATGCATGCATACAGATGGGCTTTACGTCCTGCTCACGCATGCCCAAGCAGAGAGGAGTCACAACACTGAACTACAAGCTGCCTTGAACTACAAGGAAAGGCAGGATATAAATGTTTTAATGAACAAACAAACAAATAAATAAATAAACACCTCTTTGGAGACACCTTCTCTGCAAGCTAGCTTTCTTTCAAAATAAACAAAAATGATCACAGTTAATTATCCTTTTACATTCTTCCTTCACCTTTCTGACTTTCTTTATCCTGCTGTCCTCTGTGCTTCCTGTGGCAATCCAACTGATGCCCAGAGACCAAGATGTGGTAATTAATACTTCCAGGCTAACAAGCTTATTTACTTATGGGAAAGTAGAATGTGACAAAGCTCCTGCATAGATGGACTTGGCCTCTTTTACAGCAACTGATCCCTCTGAAGCACAATGTTTTGGTTCATGCCAAAGGAAGGGTAGCTTGAAGATAACAGAGAGCTGCAGGTTTCCTGTATCCTTTACTGCTGTCTTCAACTATTCAACAGGGTGGTTCACATAATTACCAGCAACTACCCAAGTGGTTGTCTGGCATCACATGCCTACAAGATAAGGGGTGTAGCTTGGGCAAGGAGCCACACAACTTCTTAATCTAAATTATTTACCAACCACTACACATCTATCCTCCTCCAAGCCGCTCAAGGCAATTCTCTCCTTCCTTACTGAAGCTTCATAACCGTTAGGTTAACAGTAGTGAATGTGAGATTGCCCCAAGCTTGCCAGTGAGCCTCGGGACAAAATGTGGAGTTGAACCCAGATTTCTCTTCGCCTACTTGCACACTTCAACCACTACACAAAACTGCCTTTGCCGTTTCAGGAGGTTAGCCATGTTGGTTTGCAGTAGAAGAGCTGGATTCAAATCCAGAAGCACCTTAGAGACCAACAAGGTTTTGAGGAACAAACTTTTGAGAGTCCAAGCTACCTTGAGTATGAGTTAACCATCTCCCATGATTTTGAGAGATGTCATCATTTGAAATACCTCTTTCCCTTTGCCAGAGTTGGGGAGGTTTAGCCTTCAGGGCTGCTGCCTGGAGATAAATCTGCTCTTCAGCCACCCACATTTGTCTCCCCTCTCCCTTCCCCCCATTTTTCTCTTTGTACAACTATGAGGCTCATTACCTAGTCATTGCATTTACACCTGGAAACACGTTTGCGAGTGCCTATGGAAATCACTTCTGTCTAGCACTGAAGCGGAGAGTAAAAATAAACAGCCAGGTGGCAAGGAAACGAAACACTGAGGTAGGCATAAAACTGACCAGATGGCAAACCCAAAACACTTGGATTTTTTTTGTCTGTGTGTGCATGCACACAAGCTGTTTTCCTCTCTGCTTCTTCAGTCGAAGCACAGCCAGCGTCGTGGAGGTGCTGAGCCCCCCTCCCCGACCAAAAGAAATGGGAGCGGGGGAGAGAATGTGATATTCCAGGTTTGGTTTTGGCAAAGAATGGTGTGATGTGTTAGGTGAGGAGAAAAAGCGTGAGAGATTATGCTCAGAGGAACTGCAAGTCTGGAGGCACAAGATGAGAAACTGAAACTGCTCTGAAGCCATAGAAGACAGACATTTGATTATGCTTCTGCTTCACGCTGCATACCAGAAAAAGGCACCCTTCGGCTCAGTGTGCAACACAAGTGGCAGAAACCCTGCCATGACAGAACTCATGCAGGCAATTCTCTTCTGCAAAGACTAACAGCATCAGTTCTCCCATCCTGCCAAGCCCAAACGCTGCTGGAACGAACCCAAAAAAAAGTGAAAAGAAAAAAATCCAGATGTCGAGAGTTGTGACTGTAAGCCAATATAATTCTACCAATCCCTAGTCCCCTTTCAAACTGATGAGGGGTGAGTTGGAGAAGGGGGAGGAATCCACCACGAAGGTGGCTTTTTTGCAATTTACAGAGCCAAGTTCTTTTTCTCCTGACCCTTTGGCTGAAATGGAGGGGCACTGTCTTTAATTTCTCCCCACCTTTCCCAGTAGCAATTCTTTTGCTTGCAGAAGTGGAGCTTAGATTCTGTTGCTCTGCCCTTCTCCGTGCAAGGAGGGAGGGGAAAAGGGTTCTCTGCCTATGCCTCCTGCTCCCTCCTACCACTAATGCTGGCTGCTCAGATGCTTTGTCCATTTTACAATGCAGGCACAATCCACCATTGCGTCAGAGGGAAAAGGCCTCCTTGTTGTACTGAATGACAAGGATTTCAATTTCCGCTGGCACCACTCCATACAACACCGGGAGACAGACAGAGAGACGGGGCTGCCATTTCTCAGCTGTTTCCCCTCCTGATGCATCTCATCTTCAAACAGTGCCATGATACTGCTGTTTCCTCCTGGGGGCATGCAGAAATGGGATGGGCCTTTTTTGCTGCCCATCTCTGGGAGGCACATCAGCTGGCAAGATGAGGTGGCAAACAAAGCCCAACACAGAGTGTTGAGGCAGTGGATAGGAAAAAAGAAATGTAGTTTAAAAAGTGGTCTATAAACCATCATTTTTGTTTGCACAGGTGACACTAAAAATCTTAAAAAGTTATGGAAAACAGATCGGCTTTGTCTTGAAACTTCCAAACAGTGTGGAAAAACATTTTCAATGAACTACACACATAAACACATCACTGGTTGTGGAGCTGGAATTCAAAGAAGATGCTCACTGGAAAAGGAGGACATTTTACAAGGAAGTCAGGAAGCTTACTGCAACTGCTGGTTCGAGTTCTAGCAGTGTGGCTTTCTTGTAATGCCAACTCAAAGAGGCCACCCTCACAAACACAACTGCTTTATTCACAGTTCTAATACTCTGGCTTATCTTGGATGTTTTATCTGAACTCAGAGAGGAATCCACTCTTCCATTTCCTTTCCTGTACCACTCTGCAATCACTCCCAATGCAACACTTAAAAAATTCCTCACTCCTGCAACTATTCTCCTAGTGCGACTGCTTGATCAATCCCTGCAACTATTCTCCTAGTGCGACTGCTTGATCAATCCCCTGAATAGTCACTATTCTCTTAATGCAACTGCTAGCTCATTCACCTGAAAAACCATTATTCTCTTAGTACAGCTGATAGATAATTCCCACAAATACCTGCTATTCTCTTACTTCAACTGCTCAATCAGATCCCCAAAGAGCCACCATGTTTGCCAACTCCTGCTTGGGAAATACCTGAAGATTTGGAGGTGGATCCTGGGGATGGTGGGGTTTGGGTTGGGGAGCAACCTCAGCGGGGTATAATGCCATAGGATCTACCCTCCAAACCAGCCATTTTCTCCAGGAGAACTGGTATCTGTCTTCTGGATGTCAGCTGTAATTCTAGGATATCTCCAGCCCCTACATGGAAGTTCACAACCCTAATAGCCACTATTCTCCTAGTGCGACTGCTAGATCAGTCCCCCAAATGGCCACTATTTTCCCAGTGTGACTGCTAGATCAGTCCTCAAATGGCAACTGTTCTCCTAGTGTGACTGGTAGTCCCCTGAATAGCCACTATTCTTCCAGTGTGACTACTAGAACAGTCCCCTGAATAGCCACTATTCTCCTAGTGCGACTGCTAGATCAGTCCCCCAAATGGCCACTATTCTCCTAGTGTGACTGCTTAACCATTCCCCTTGAATAGCCATTATTCTCCTAGTGCAACAGACATATCAGTCCCCCAAATAGCCACTATTCTCGTACTGCGACTGCTAGATTAGTCCCTTGAATAACCACTATTCTTGTAGTGTGACTGTTAGATCCTTCCCCTGAATGGTTGGATTAAAGTTTCTAAAGTACGGGATGGGCTGGAAACAGCAACATCATGAGTGTACACACATCAATACTTCAAGAAATTTAATGAGCGTACAAGTCACAATTCTTGAAGTGTGACTGTGAGGAAATAGAACCATGACTCTAAGCAAACGGACTCAAAAGCAATGATCTGCAAAGTGAGAGCCAATTCCAAAGCAGTATTCTGCAATATTAACATTTATTTGAAGTAATCAACTCTGCATCTACATGTAGCAACTGGACCAAGGGCATGCACATGCTTGTCTTTTCTCACAACACATTCACCCTCCTAGTCGCATCCCACTATGCTATGCAAATGAGAATCCAAGGTGCCACAACCTAATCGGGACCCACAAGCCCCAGGTATAAAATTTTCTAGCACCTAGCACAACAAGCTGTTTATCCCATGATCTCAAAAGGCATACATACCACACAACCTGTTGAGTCCACTTGACGGTCCGACACACACTTGAAGTTGCGGGTGCAGCCACCATTGTTTCGCGAGCAGTCTCGGACTGGCCCGAAAGACGAGAGCAGATCATTGATGGTTTCAAAGTAGGTGGACAGCATCGCTTCTTCCCTTGGAGAAGAAGAAAGATTTAAGCTACTCACGCTGGAAGGTGTGCTTTGCCATAAATTTCAAAGGACACACATGACTAATTTGTGTACACGGAGGGTAGGGTGGTGAAACACCTTGCAAGTCAGATAGAGGGATTCAATTCAAGCTGTCTCCTTGACTTCCCAGGCTTCTATGTGAAGGGACTGGGGGGATAGCATTCCATCGTGTGAGCCCCCACATACTGAAGTAGTATAGCACAGGCACATTTATCATAGGGAGGACCTAGGGTTGTATATTTGCAGAACACAGAACAATTTCCACAATGCCTCCAGCCAAATGAACGCTCCAGAGTTGAAACATGTATTATTTGCTGCATTTTACCCCAATGGGCAGTTTTCTGTGCCCTGAATCACTAAGAGGGAGGCTACAGCTGCCCACTGACATTTTTTTTGTTAATTTGCCTCTAACAAAATATTGCCAGCTCCACTGCTCAGACTCAGCGTGCACGGCTAGCTAGAGCAAAATGCACGTCACTTCTTGACAAAGCAAACAGGGGGTAGTATGTCATGTGCACATATGGGGGGGGGCACAGTGGCTATGGGAGAATGAGGAGCATTCAAGTAGCAGTAACATTTATAGTGCTGTACAGTCTTAATTTTCTTCTTACAGGGCAGAGCACACAGCAATTGTCCATTGCCCATATGAACAGCAGCCCTGCTTATTTAATTATCGGAACAGCCTTAAATTGGCCACAGTTACTCCTGTTCTACTAATGGTGGGGAAGAGAGAATGATTTGCTCCAGGTCAGCCAGCAGGTTCACAGCTGAGCAGGGATGTATTTGAACCCAGGTCTAAGACTAACAACCGGGGAATCAGTTCTCCCAAATGCAGTCCTGTATTTATGGTTGTGGCCACATGCGCCAGAAAAAATGGGGGGGGGGGAGGAAGGCTATTTCCTCCGGAGGAATTTGACCTGCAGTTGTACAATCACACCTCCCTTTGAAGCTGTGGGTGCAGTCCATCAGTGTGTGATCAGACGCAACTGCGAGTCTTTTTTGTGCCATTTTTCCCATGCGCTTAAATGGGGAATCAATGAATCACACGTCCACACCAAAGGCTCCCTATGGAGTTTGTGATGATGCACATACTGTGAAGGGGGGAACAACGGCATGGAGTTGGGATGGCCTGATCAGACCATCCCGACACCATGAGAGTGCACTGGAGCGATCAGACACGGGAAAGTTCATCCATGGCCCGTCGCGACCAATGTTCCCTCTAAGTTGTGGAGTCTTCTGAGCAAAAATTCTACTTTGTGAGCTACTGGCATTAAAGTTGTGAGCGAGCGATTTGGCTACTGCATAAATGAGTTTGCTCTGGAGCCATCCTTCCTCAGCTAAGACAAAAAATATGTGAACCAGATGCTAAAAAACTGTGAGCTAACTTACACTAAATCAGCTTAGAGGGAACAATGGTCACAACCCGTTTACTACTAGATTTCCCCTGGTGTCTTTTAACTCCACTTCTGTGGCAGAGCAGAACAGGTTGCTGACGGCTGTGGGGTGCTTCCCAGATGTTGTTGTCTGATCCCACCCTTTAAATCCACCCAGCATTCACACCTATGTCGGGTCTAATTGTGTGTATGATTGCAGCCTGAGTTACTGTAAACAGCGGTTCCAAAGACTATGGATCCAGGACTGGATATACTACAAATCAATTTAGCCAGTTTGGTGTAGTGGTTAAGTGCGCGGACTCTAATCTGGGAGAACCGGGTTTGATTTCCCACTCCTCCACATGCAGCTGTTGGATGACCTTGGGCAAGCCATAGTTCTGTCAGAGCTGTCCTTGAAAGGGCAGTTCTGTCAGAGCTCTCTCAGCCCCACCTACCTCACAGGGTGTCTGTTGTGGGGAGGGGAAGGGAAAGGAGTTTGTAAGCCACTCTGAGTGAAGGGTGGAGTACAAATCCAATCTCCTCCTCCTCTTCTTCTCTGTTGATTGCAGGGTACATGACGCATGCTTCACCCACCCATTGTGGAAACAAACAGGTCAAAAATGGTGCTGGTGACCCGAAGCCTCTAAGGAGCCTCCTCAGATTTGTCTGCAGAATCCCTCCTCTGCCTCTCTCCCGCCCTTGCACAGCACACAACAATTATTTAAAGCTTTTTTGGTAAACCGGAGTGATACCATAGCATCCAAACTGGCACCCTGTGATGTGTGTTGATCTAGCAAACCAAGGGCCCAAACAATGGCTGATTCCCAGTTTGCAGGACTAGAGCAAAAATCCAGAAGGGATGAATTAGCAGCATGTAAGTACAGGGGAGGGGGCTGCGGTGGCTCAGAGGTTAAGACGCTGAACTGCAGGCCAGAAGGTCTGTAGTTTGGCAGTTCGAGACTCGAGTGCCGCATGACAGAGTGAGCTCCCGTCTCTGGCCAGCCAGCAGTTCGAAAGTAAGAAATTGCAAGTAGATAAATAGGTACCACTTCGGTGGGAAGGTAACAGCGTTCCATGCACCTCGGCATCTAGTCATGCCGGCCACATGACCACGGAAATATCTTCGGACAGCGCTGGCTCTTAGGCTTGGAAACAGAGATGAGCACTGGCCTCTAGAGTCGGATTCGACTGGCTTTCGAGCAAGGGAAACCTTTACTTTTACCTTTACCTTTAAGCATAGGGGAAAGGAAGGATCATGCAACAAACTCTGTGTTCTTTCAAGACATGTTTAAAAAGAACCAAGCCATTGTTTGCAGTTATGTGTGAATGGTGGATGGACTACAAGTTCAGAAGGAAACCTCTGTCACCACTCACTCTCAACTGGCAACAGGAAATTCACTTAAAACAACAACAACAACAACAAGGCTCTTCCTGGGTCTTGAATGGATAGTGGTTTCTGCAAACAATTGTCCATTTATTAATTTACTTCATCTCCTTCCCAGTGGGGACTCAAAGCAGCTTACATCATTCTCCTTCGCCTCCATTTTATCCTCCTAACAACTCTGTGATGTAGGTTAGGCTGAGGTAGGTTAGGCTGAGGTAGGTTAGGCTGTAAGTGGCCCAAGGTCACCCAGCAAGCTTCTGTGGCAGAGCAGGGATTCAAACCAGGGCCTCCCACATCCTAATCCAACACTCTCACCAGTACACCACACTGACTAAGTCATCAGCCTGGCTCTAGCGACTGAATCAAGCCCCAGCTACCTATGACAGGGTCCACATTTTGGAATGCAATTCAGTTTTTCTTCTCTTTCCTCAGATTAGGTGGAACAGCACAGCAACTGTGCCTAAAGGGAAACCAAGGCTGTGCCCAGCTGTCCAAGACCAGTGAGATAGTGGGCAAGAACTACATTACAGATCTCATGATAAACTGTGGCTTGATTAAATATGTAATGAACTTTGGTTTGTGCACGTCATAAGTAGCAAATCCTGGTTTGTCTGATTTTGGCCTCTTTTGCACCTCAATGTCTCTGTGGAAGTGCTACTAAAACTGAGAATGAAGATTCCCAGCCACTTCCCACAATTAGACATTTATCTGCTAGTATGCCATATTTAGGAGCTGTGGTGGCTCAAGTGGTTAAGAAGCTGAACTGCAGGCTGTGGAAGGTCAGTAGTTCAGCAGTTCGAGACCCAGGTGCCGCATGATGGAGTGAGCTCCCATCTCTAGTTCCAACTCCTGCCAAACTAGCAGTTCGAAAGCAAGAAATTGCAAGGAGATAAATAGGTACCACTTCGGTGGGAAGGGAACAGCGTTCCGTGCGCCTTGGTGTTTAGTCATGCCGGCTACATGACCATGGAAACGTCTTCGGACAGCGCTGGCTCTTCGGAGATGAGCACCGCAACCCTAGAGTCGGATTCGACTGGCTTTCGAGCAAGGGAACCTTTACCTTTTATGCCATATTTATTGTTTTAGAACAGTTGACCCTATAACCTTAACTGGTTATTTAGTGTCACTTTGCATATCTTGAACATCATCATGTTGCATGTTAATTTGCTGTTCATTCTCTGGCTATAAGTTTGAACCTTCTGCCATTCTAACATATTTGATAAAGTGTGCGTGCACATGAAAGCTCATACCTTGAATAAACCTTTGCTGGTCTTAAAGGTGCCACTGGACTCTGAATTTGTTGTGGTTTACAGGTTCAGCTACCAGAACAAATCACAGATAGTATAAACTGGGATTTCTAGTTCCAAACCAGCTACATCCCACAGTTGATATGCCAAGTTCATTGTCAACCAACAGACCTTGCTTTATTCAGCTCCTTGCACTCAGACATCTTAACTAAAACTGCATCCACACATCATTTGTTATTGTGCTATGTTTGTGCTATTGCAATAATTTGCAACTGCATTTTCCTGTGTGGATGAGACAATGCAGTTGTGGAGGACTGCTATAGCACAATATCCAATGATGTATGGATGCAGTCTAATCGGGGCTTGATCAAACAGTTTATAAATAGTTTATTGTGATGCATAAATACATTCAAAAGCTCTAGGACATGAGACAATGGTGGCTCCATCTAATAAATAAAAAGCAAGGTCTTCATAACATGCACCTCATGTTCACAAAGCATAGCAGTCAGAAACAATGCAAATTAGGAAGCGGCTTACGGAATCTCTCCTTCCTGGTATGACTGTATTTGCTGCCAAGAAATGACTCAGGGAATTGTGCCCCCTTCTCCCAACAAAGAAAAGATTTTAACTTGGTAGGCTGCCATTTTTAAGACACAATTTATTCTTCTTACCTGCTAACTTTCCTGTTGTTTAACCAGTAGGTAAAAAGTATCTGAAAGATGTACCAAGAATATTGGCTTGCATCTTGATAAACCCAGACTAGCCGGATCTTGTCAGATCATGGAAGCTATGTAAGGTCGTTCTTGGCTAGTATTTGGAAGGAAGACCTCCAAGGAATACCAGGGACATGACATGGAGGCAGGCAATGGCAAACCACCTCCGAAACATCTCTTGCCTTAAAAACAAGTCTTGGTCACCACCTAGTGGTGCATAACACTAAAAGAGCTAGAACTTCTGGCTG